TCTTTGCAGATTTTAGTTTGATTTTAATGAATTATTTTCATTACGTAATCCTTTGATTTCTTCACTCATATATTTTAAAAGATGGCTTTGGTATTGTTACCCATTTGGCTCGGCTTGATCATCACAACATAGCTTTCACTGTAACTATCAATGGTTCAAATTTTTTCAAAGCATTGAATGAGTGCTAAAATGATAGCAATTTTGGTAATGGTAAAACCTGATATCATTAGAATCTGAAGAGCCACAAAGTTCATCATAAAATAAAGATAGAGAAGATACATGTGGAGATAGTTGATGTTGATACCATTCTGACAAATGAGCTGGAAAAAACAAGTAGCGGTTAGTATTTACAACATAAAAAACGAGCTAGTCACACTCTGTACCTGCTCGCTACAAATGACATTCCAAAATTGATTAAAAAAGAATGAAGTTTACATAAACAACAATATCTGGGAGCAATAGCCATTTGCTCAAAACATTCAGCCAAAGGAAGACTCGATGTAATTCTATTTATGATTACATATATCAACTTTTGGAGCCAAGAGTAAAATAAAAGCTCACCTAAATCATGGATGCATTAAAATTGCACCGTTTTAACCAGATGAGTTAGAGATATTAGAGAAATATAAGCAGTTTATGAAACCTATTACTGATGCTCTGGACAAACTGCATGAGAAAACTATTTCTTTTCTGGAGTTCCTGATGCCAACGGTTAAGTAAGTTTAAAAGAAATTTAAGGTGCTTCTTCCAAAAGTTGTCTAACAACGAAAAATTAAATAAGGGTTTGATTTCAAACACATTTCCACATTTGTTTCCCACATTTGTTTAAAAAAAATTCATCATTCAGAATCTATGCGATTGCAGCTGCATCTCATCCTCATTTGATGCTGCAATGGGTTTCTAATTAAAAGAGAGAAAACTGAAAAAAAGACTGGGTTAGTTAAGTTTTCATATAAAGGACAAAAAACAAATTGTGCTGAATTCTTTGCTAATGCTCAGGACGGAACGACATCTAGAACTTATGATTTTCTTTTTAATTTAAATTACTAAAAACAAGCTGCATACAAGCTAGTCAGTAAGCAGTCACTTGAACTCTTTATTGTTTACATATTCATTTTTACAATTTCAATACGTAATGTTAGTTTTTTTAAACTTATATTTGACTTTTTACTTCATATTTTAGGATTAAAATGTTGAGCTTGCTAAGTTAAAATTTTAATACAACTGTGCAACTTTCCTTTTATTTTTTTCTTATTTTCGCCAAAACTAATCACATCACTATGACTCATGTGGAAAAACTCTGACATCTTTCTAAATGACCGTCTACTAGAATCCACATAGCTATCTTGTTTTTGTGTTTTTTTTTCTGTTTATTTTTGGTGTAACTAAAATAAAATTTATCAACAATTCATTAGAAACGTTTTAAATAAACTTACAACAAACTATATAGCACTAAAAATTAATATTTTTAGCCTTATGCAAACTATAAAGAATAATAAGAACCGAATAAAATTAAAATAATATGAAAAAAATGCATAAATATAGAAATAATATAAAGAAATAAACGATAATATAATACACTAGGATGCTTAAGACATGAGAGAGTTTTTTTTTCAAGTTTTTGGTAATTTTTACAACCCACCCCAACCTTACCAAGATTTCGTCTTTCCCATCCAACATAAAAAATACAAAATAATATAAAGAATAAAATAGAAAGTATTTACTTTCTATTACTTAAAAGAATATAAAGAAACAAAAGAAGATAATTTGAAACATTTTTTTGAACTTCAACAATGTTTTTTGATAATTCCCAACATAATTAGGCTTGCAGCCTAGTTGGTATTAAATATGTTTTTAAAAAAATCCAGCAATTAAACAGGAGGTTTTAAATTTGAAAATTAAGTTGAAGAATATTGTTTAAATTGTTGAAATGGTTTATATTTTGCAACAACTTCGTCAAATATTAAACTTATAAACTATGTTATAATAATTAACTAAGCTCATACAACTTACATGTTTTTTTTTATTTATTTTTGTTTTGTTATTTTTATTTCTTCTATAAGAAAATTAGAATTTATACAAAAAATTTACAAGTTCTACTATATTATTGATGATTATTTTAAAAGCCAAATATCAAATCAAATACAAACTTTATATACTTTTATTATTAAAATTAAATTTGTTATAAAAAATATGTGAACAAAAATAAGTAAATAAAAAATAAAAACATTGAAAAAAATAAAAACAAAAATAGAAGAAAAAAATAATCTTTTTGAGACTTATATTTGACTTTTTACTTCATATTTTAGGATTAAAATGTTCAGCTTGCTAAGTTAAATTTTTAGCAAAACTGTGCAACTTTCCTTTTAATTTTTTTTTACTTTCGCCAAAACTAACAACATTACTATGGCTCATGTGGAGAAACTCCGACTTCTTTCTAAGTGACCATCGACTAGAATCCACATAGCTATCTTGTTTTTGGTTTTTTTTTTCCGTTTATATTTGATGTAACTAAAATAAAATTTATCAACAATTCCTAAGAAACGTTTTAAATAAACTTACAACAAACTATGTAGCACTTAAAATTTATATTTTTAGCCTTATGCAAACCATAAAAAGTATAAAGAATCAATCAAATTAAAATATTTTAAAAAAATGCATAAATATAAAAATGACATAAAGAAATAAACCAAAAAATACAAAATTTATATTCTTCTATTATTAAAATTAGTTTTGTAATAAAAAGAATTTGAACAAAAATAAGTAAATATAAAAAGTGAAAACATTGAAAAAAATTAAAACAAAAATAGAAGAGAAAAATTATCTTTTTTAGACTTATATTTGACTTTTTACTTCATATTTTAGGATTAAAATGTTGAGCTTGCTAAGTTAAAATTTTACTAAAACTGTGCAACTTTCCTTTTGTTTTTTTCTTATTTTCGCCAAAACTAACCACATCACTATGGCTCATGTGGAGAAACTCCGACGTCTTTCTAAATGACCTTCTACTAGAATCCACATAGCTATCTTGCTTTTGTGTTTTTTTTCCGTTTATTTATGGTGTAACTAAAACAAAATTTATCAACGATTCATAAGAAACGTTTTAAATAAACTCTCAACAAACTATATAGCACTAAAATTTAAACTTTTAGCCTTATGCAAACCATAAAAATTATAAAGAACCAAATAAAATTAAAATAATATTAAAAAAATGCATAAATATAGAAATAATATAAAGAAATAAACCAAAAATTAATATACTAGGCTGCTTAACACATAAGAGGGTTTTTTTTTTTAGTTTTTGGTAATTTTTACAACCCACCCCAACCTTACTAAGATTTCGTCTTTCCCATCCAACATAAAAAATACCAAATAATATAAAGAAACAAATAGAAAGTATTTACTTTCTATTTGTTAAAAGAATATAAAGAAACAAAAGAAGATAATTTGAAACATTTTCTTGAACTTCAACAATGTTTTTTAATAATTCCCAACTTAAGTAGGCTTGCAGCCTAGTTGGTATTAAATTTGTATTTATAAAAAATACCAGCAATTAAAAAGGAGGTTCAAAATTTGAAAATTAAGTTAATAAATTTTGTTTAAAGTGTAGAAATGGTTTATATTTTGCAACAACTTCGTCAAATATTAAACTAATAAACTATGTTATAATAATTAACAACTTACTTGTTTTTTTGTGATTTTTTTTTTTTTTTTGTTATTTTTATTTCATCTAAAAAAAAATTAGAATAAAAAAAAAAAAGTTATAAATTCTACTATATTATTGATAATTCTTTTAAAAGGTAAATGATCGAACCAAATACAAACTTTATATTCTTTTATTATTAAAGTTAAGTTTGTAATAAAAAGATTTTGAACAAAAACAAGTAAATATAAAAAATGAGAACTTAAATTTTAACTTGCTAAGTTAAAATATTAGCAAAACTGTGCAACTTTCCTTTTATTTTTTTCTTATTTTTGCAAAAACTAACCACATCACTATGTCTCATGTGGAGAAACTCCGACGTCTTTCTTAATGACCGTCTACTAGAATCTAAATAGCTATCTTGTTTTTTTGAACCAAAAAAAAAGTAGAATAATATTAAAAAAATGCATAATTATAGAAATAAGTTAAAGAAATAAACCAAAAAATGTTACACTAGGGTGCTTAACAAATGAGAGTGTTTTTTTTTTAAGTTTTTGGTAATATTTACAACCCACCCTACCTTACTAAGATTTCGTCTTCCCCATCCAACATAAATATACAAAAGAATATAAAAAAACAAATAAAAAGTATTTACTTTCTATTTCTTAAAAAAATATAAAGAAACAAAAGAAGATAATTTGAAACATTTTCTTGAACTTCAACAATGTTTTTTGATATTTCCCAACTTATTTAGGCTTGCAGCCTAGTTGGTATTAAATTAATTTTTATAAAAAAGTTAGCAATTGAACAGGAGGTTCAAAATTTGAAAATTAAGTTGAAGAATATTGTTTAAATTGTTAAAATGGTTTATATTTTGCTACAACTTTGTCAAATATTAAATTTATAAACTATGTTATAATAATTAACAACGCTCCTACAACTTACTTGATTTTTCTGATTTTTTATCTTGTGTTATTTTTTTTTTTTAAAAAATTAGAATTAAAAAAAAAAAGTTATAAATTCTGCTATATTATTGATGATTATTTTGAAAAAATTAGAATTAAAAAAAAAAAGTTATAAATTCTGCTATATTATTGATGATTATTTTGAAAGGTTAGAATTATGATTGAACCAAATACAAACTTTATATTCTTTTGTTATTAAAATTAATTTTTTAATAAAAAGAGTTTGAACAAAAATAAATAAATATAAAAAATGAGAACATTGAAAAAAAAAAAAAAAAAATAGAAGAAAAAAAAACTTTTTTAGACTTATATTTGACTTTTTACTTTATATTTTAGGATTAAATTGTTGAGCTTGCTTAGTTAAAATTTAGCAAAGGTATGCAAATTACCATTTATTTTTTTCTTATTTATGCAAAAACCAACCACATCTCCATGTCTCATGTGTCGAAACTCCGACGTCTTTTCAAATGAGCGTCTACTAGAATCCACATAGCTCTCTTGTTTTTGTGTTTTTTTTACGTTTATTTTTGATATAACTAAAATAAAATTTTTCAGTAATTCATAAGAAACGTTTTAAATAAACTTACAACAAACTATGTAGCACTAAAAGTTTATATTTTCAGCCTTATGCAAACCATAAAAAGTATAAAGAATCAATAAAATAAAAATATTTTTAAAAAAATGCATAAATATAGAAATAACATAAAGAAATAAACCAAAAAATACAAACTTTATATTCTTTTATTATTAAAATTAATTTTGTAATAAACAGAATTTGAACAAAAATAAGTAAGTATAAAGAATGAAAACATTGAAAAAAGTAAAAACAAAAATAGAAAAAAAAAATTATTTTTTTTAGACTTATATTTGACTTTTTATTTCATATTTTAGGATTAAAATGTTGAGCTTGCTCAACATTTTAATCCTAAAACTTGCTTGAAGTTAAAATTTTAGCAAAACTGAGCAACTCCTTTTTTTTTTTTTTTTTGTTTTTTTCGCCAAAGCTGACCACATCACTATGGCTCATGTGGAGAAACTGTCACGGTTAGGGTTAGGGTCAGGGTTAGGGTTGGGTTAGGGTCAGGGTTAGGGTTAGGATTAGGGTTAGGGTATGTATCTTTCCCCCCTCGCTAGAACATTTATTATAATATTATAAGCTTAGATAAGTTAAGTTATTTTTTTTTTATACAAAAGATAATTTTTCGACAAGACATGCACCTATCCAGTCAAAAAATCATTAATACTGAATAGTAAATGAATTCAGCTACAGTTAGCTGAGTTACCTGTGTCGATGCTTTTTGAAAAAAGGCAGTTTTGTTATTAGACACACGCGAGCTTCCTGCGTTTCATCTGTGGCAGTGCTGGTAATGATTTGCACTGATTCAGCAGAGCTTGTTCTATCTGAGCATATTGTTCGAGTAGTGCAAAATATCTAAATATCAAAATATCTTTAATATTAATTATATTTAAATATATTTAATATAATTAATATTAAATAAATCCGGAGGTTTTAGTTACATCTAAGTAATTTCAAACGAAGATTTATTTTCAGTTTTAATTTTTAATTTTAATCTAATATTAAAAAATATATAATTTAATATAACTCGGATTTTAGAAGTTGATGCTGACTAATAACTAAGTGCTAAAAAAATTAAATTTTCATTATTTTTCATTATTTTACTACCAACTAATGCATAAATAAATTTTATTGCTAAGCTCGAGTGATCATAACTAAATATTAGGGTTATGGTATTTAATTATATAAAGTTTACTTTAATGTTACAGTTTTAATCAGCTTATATTGAGTGATTATAAAGAAATCAATGTGTTTCATTGAGTAACTTTACTTTCTATCCGCTATCGTGCCGTTTATGGCCGCCTTACACACGACCTTGCCACCTCCAAAAGCCGTTGCTGGATTCATTTAATCTTCACAACTAAATAGATCAGAGGCTTATTTAAATTTCTGAGAAGAAGAAAAAAAAAAGAAGAATTTTGAACGTTCAACTACGTTTTATTCGGAAAACAGACGTCGTGTGAACGTTTAAAAAATGTCTTCCTCAGTCGAATGCTGCTTAGTAATGTCCATTTTTTCGGCGAAGCCAATTATTGGGCAAAAAACGCCCATGGCTTTGGTCGAACTAAAGCCGAAGCTGAAGCTTCGGTACATCCCTACATTATACAGACTTAATAGTTTATTCAAGTCCTACATTATACAGACTTAATAATTTAATTCATAGCAGTTTTAGTACGTGACGTCATACATTTTTTTTTTGTATAAAACACCGATTATTATCTTTTACATACAATTTTCAAATCATATTCATTTTTACTATATTTTATAGTTCTAAAATGTGTTCGAAAAAAAAATCAAAAAAAAAACAAAATAGTATTATATTTGCGCAACTTTTTTTAAATAATCGACCACATATATTTTTATTTCTTTTGTTATAAGTTTTTCTTTCAAAGTATTAAAAAAAATCTTTTAACCTAAAATAATAATGCACTTTTGTTAATTTACTTATTCAATATTTAAAAAAAAAATTATTAATGCATATTTTCTCTGATTTGTAAAAAATTTTTTTTTTTTTAATCTTATTTCATAATATATATTTCCATTATTATAACATCCAATATATATAATCCACAATAAATAATGAGTTTTTTTAAAAACAACGTTTTTCAAGCGAAGTAAAAAGTAGAAAATAATTTTTCTTTGAGCTTGTCAGAATGTTCCATTATATTCCTTTTATAATGATGAAAGATTTTATCACAAATTTAAAACAAAAAACATAGGGCGCATGTTATAAGTATTGGTCGATCACCAATCTTTTAACTTATAACATGTGCCCAACGTTTTTCGTTTTACGTGTATCAAATTTGTTATAAAATCCGTCATCATTATAAGAGGAATACAATCAGACATTTTGACAAGCTCAGAGAAAATTATTTTCTACTTTTTAGTTTGCTTAAACAACGTTGTTTATTTTGGATCATTTTTTACCTTTTAGATTCGTTTTTTCACTTATTTCTAAATTTCATTCACTCCAACCTTCGATATTAATATCCTTAACACTTTTTTTATTAAATTTAATTATACTTTATTCACTATGCGATCTCTTAGATTCAGTTATTATTGCAATAATTACGTCTTACACTATATAATAAATAAAAACACTTACACTATTTATTATTTATTTACTAAATTTGTTTACTAAATTTTTGTTCAATACCCGTGCTGAATTATTTAAAATATTTTTTGTCCATTGCAAATTATTTTATATGATTAGTTAGAGATACGTAGCACAAAAGAATTCAGCACAAAAGAATTCAGCACAAAAGAATTACGTAACAAAAGAATTGCAAAAGTATTGAATTTATTAATTGTGGCGTTGTAATTTTTATTTAAAAATTTACTCTTTATTATTTTATAACCATGGATTTAAAAACGCGAAGTATTTTTGTTACAATTTATACAATTTATATTTAAAGTAAATTACACACAGCTGTTTTTTAATCAATGTAGTTATTAATTTATCTTGGTAAAAATTATATTTTTACCAAAAACATAGTGAATACGGTCGCAGTGCACGTTTCAAAAATGCGATACATTGAGTATTTTTCAATTTATGTCGAATTTGCATTCAAATTAAAAAACCACTTCGAATAACAAATAAAATTTAATAATAAATAACAAATAAGTAAATAACAAATAAAAGTTTGACTTGTATTTTTTTTTATTTGTCGAATCATTAACTCAATAATAACATTTTCTTGCAATCTTCAAAAATATTCATTCCATTTTTTTTTTTAAATCAAAAATATCATACAAGTTTTACTAAATTTATTCTGACACGTGGCTAAATAAGTTAAACTTCAGTTAAAGTGATAACATGACCGTCAACGTGACCTTCAAAGAAAAAAAACATAAAATATTTTTCAATGTTAAGATTATAGAAAATAAAATAACTAACTATAGTTAACTATTTTAGTAAGCAGTAAGTTTTTTAAAGAATTTTTAGAATGTTTCCGATGACGTCATTACTAAAACTCCTATAAATTAAACGCATTTGAATAAATTATCAAGTCTGTATAATGCATTTGGAAAAATTGCGTTTATTTTAAAGACTTCAAATACCGCAGAAAATGGAGAAGACAAGCTTCGACTAAAACAATAAGATTTGTTTTTCTTGGTATACATTTATTAATCAGTTTTAAATTTAAAAAATTTGCTCAGACGTTTTTTTAACATTCTCTTGAATATGAACACAACATGTCTCAGGACTTGGTGGTCCCTTTAAGTAATTTTTTTTTTATAGTATTTTTTATGATATATTTTTCTTTAAAATAAGAACAAGCATATTATTTAATTAAATGAACAAAAATTAGCTGATCAAAAAATTATGTAATAAATAAACTTAATTAGAATTAATCACTAGTTTTTAAAAATTAAAAATTTAAGTTATTTAAAATTTAATTTATTTACATATTTTCTAAAATATAAATATTTGTATTCACATTTGTAAATATATGCAAAATATTTGTATTCGCATTACAACTGATTGAATTTGTATTTGGGAATTAAAATTAGTTTACAATTAGCATGGTTGTATTCGATTAAATACAATTGATCCCAACCCTGATTAGTAATAATAACTTTTCAAAATCATTTAGAGGCATCAAGTTCATCAGAAACAAATTTCATAACTTCTGACAAGAAAGGTAATTATATACTTTTTTTTTTTAACAATTTGTTTTATATATTTATAAGATGTAATTAAAGTACGCTTTTTTTAAAACTACATTTACTACATTCCAAAACAAATAACAATTTAAAAACACTTAAAAAGTATAAAATAAATTAATATGATAATAACATAATATAGTGGTGGCCACTGGAATGTCCTCGATTTTTACAAGTGTCCTGGAATGTCCTGAAAAATTTTGACTTTTTTAAAAATGTCCTGGACTGTCCTGGAATTTTTATTTTTCTAATTATAATTTTAAAATTACTAATAATATTGCAGTAAACTTAAATTCTTTTAAATTCAATTCAATTCAATTTTAAAAATTCAATTAAAAAAATTAACGGCTTTAATTTTTATGTTTTCTTTATTTTTTATATTTCGCTTTAATATTTTGATTTATATTCTAAATTCTAAAAAAAGTATAAATAGTAAAGTATAAATATAAAATGCCTCAAGATTCACATTTTTTGAATGCATGGTTGCCAACACCTTAATATAAAAACTGGAATGTTAAAAAAAGGACAACAAATGCATCATGTTCATTTTGTAAAAAAGACATTAATGTTAGAAATATGGGTGAAAATGTTTTAAAAAGTCATCTCAAAAGTAAAAATTATTATGAGTTATCACCTCCAGTATTAAGTTCATTATGCAATTATTTTGCTGAATCAAAAACTCTCAATTAAAAATATTTAAGACTGGTAAATGAAGATCGCGAACTAAATGAGTATCCAGCCTTATTAAATGTTTTGTTTTTATCTTGTCATGAAAAGTCATGAAAATGCGTCTTTAAGACGCTTTTTTTAGTCGGTTATTCAAATCTGAAAGACATCTTTTATCGACATCGAAAAGACATCTTTTTTTGTTTTTATCTTGTCATAAAAAGACATGAAAAACGCGTTAATTGTATTTGTTAATCATAATTAACAAATTATACACATCTGAAAAAGTTTTTCTTCTTGGTGTCGGAAGGTGCCAAAAAAAAATCTCTTTTAAAAGTCAATATAAAAGAGGAAGCATTTTGTTTATTTTTTATAGGTTTAAACATAGGAGAACTATTTATAATAACCCTAACCCTAACCCCTAATCCTAACCCTGACAGCAGTATTGTTCAGCAGAATATATTAAATAAATTAAGAGTTAAATGAATTAAGTTAAATTAACTTAAATAAATTAAGAGTCATCAGCAGATTATCTCCAAATTCCACATTATTTTCACCTTCCTCTTTTTCCTCTGTTTCTTGAGCTTTCTCCTTTGTTTCTTGGCGTTGTTGCCTACGCAACCCCCCGATTTGATCAGAGGCGTTCTTCAGCTTTCTCTGAATAAAATTAACTATTTCTCGTCAAGAAGTCTTTTTATACAAGCTTGCTGCGACTTCTAAAAAATGAGTGAACATGAAAAACAGTCACTTGTTTTATTGTAATACGAAATAGCAAATGAAATTTTGTGAAAATTGAGTGAAACACATTAGACTTTAATTCAAAAACGGCCACAAAAATCAATTTCTTATTTTCTTTCTTTTTATCCCCACTAAGTTAAATTGGGACAGAAGTCCTACGGTAAACAGTCTAAAAATATAATAAATGATTATACTAAAGAAATTTATTATTATCAAAATGAATGTACAACGATGTATTATATTATGTAGAACTTAAAGTTAACTAAGACTTGCACCTCTAGAATTTGCTATAAAAGACAAGTTATCAAAAACAGATGTTGATATTTTTCTTGTCTTCTATGACGTAACTTTTTAATTTAATTTCGTTGAAATTAAGTGTTGTAGACCCATAACAATTTAAAAATCCATTATTGACTAAGGACTATCAAAAACGAAAAGATAATTCAGCTAATACAATTGAGAGTTGTTATTTATTTAAACTAGATAAACATATTGTTCAAAGCTCAATTTTAGCCTGAAATATAATGATGTTTTACCTAACAACATAAAATTTTAAAAACAGGCGATATCATTATCAACACAGATGAATCACACATAAACAAAAATAAAGACTAGAAAGCTGCAATGTTGTTTAGTTTGTCAATGATCCACACAATTCATGAAAGCCTAAAAGCATCGGTTAATAACTCTGAATGGAAGCTTGGGGAAAAATCAAAAGCAATGTAGGAGTTTCTGAATGAATGCCCTTCGCGCAGAGAAATCTATGAAAATATAACTGAGAGAAAAGTTTACTCTTTACCTTATTGTGGCCATCGTTGATGTGAGAATCAAAACTGTTTTGAACAAGCAGCAAATATTTTTCCTTGGTATTTGAAGTTAATTGAACACTTACAAAGTTTACCAAAATCAATGCAACCTCATGAAAAGTGGTTTGATATTTTAAAAGATACAATAAAAGATCCTTGTTTATTGCTAAATTAAAGTTTGTTGAATTTATAGCTGAAAAGTTAAATCTATTTCTAAAGGGTTTTCAAAGTGATAAACCAATGGTCCCATTTATATTTGATGTTTTAAAAAATATATTAGTTTGAATTCTAAGTAAGTTTTTATTAAATGATGTAATGAAAAGATCTGATACAATTACAAAAATAATGAAGCTTATTCTCACAGATCCAATGTTATAGAAAAGATACAATTGAAATTGGTCTGTCTGCCAATATGGAAATTCAAAAATACAAAAGCTTATCAACATCAAAAGGAAGCATCATTTCAAAATTTTACAAAGATGTTTGTACATTTTTATCTTCACTGGCAACTCACATGTTAGAAAAATCTCCCATAAAATATCTTCTTGTCAGGTGTTCATCTTGTCTGGATCCAATTAAATTAGCAGATAGCAGAGAAGTAGAGTGTAACAAGTTTTCTAAATTATACAAGAATGAATGCGCTCTAGTGCTTCATTCATTCTTGTATAATCACCTTTTCTGTAGGCGTATGATTTGTTGCTATAGATTTCTCTTATAATGGTGCTGTTTGTGATGACACTCCATTGAATAACATTGTGTCCCTTATTGGTTGATCCTAGTGGTGGTCCTATTTCCATGTCTATCACTTTTTTATTGTTGTCTGATATTACAAGATCTAATATGTTTGTTTGTTTTCCATCCTCAATCTGAAACGTTGGTTTAGACACGCACTGGTGGAGATAATTTTCGTTTAAATTGTCTACAAAGTTTAAGCTCTGGTGACAGTTGTTTTTAACACTAACACAGATTATCGGAGAATTCAATGTTGGGTTTGTTGAAATCTCCAGCTATAAACATACCAGTGAACTTTTTGTTATCCACTAGATTTTTGGCTTCTTCTATGATTTGGTTTAGTTCTGTGGTTGTTATGCATTTGTGATTTTTTGACTTGCTCCACCTGTTGCAGATGAAGTGTTTGCATTTGTTGGAGTTGCTAATGTCAATTGGCCTGTTAAAACTGTTGTTGTCACTGCCATACCTACTGGTGATCCTTTAATCATAGCTACAGCTCCATTTCGGATGATGTACAAAGTTGACATGTCGATTTGTGCAGCATTTAGGCGGT